AGAGAGGTGCTTACAATGCCTGGCTCCCATAAGGTTCAGTTAACATTTATTGACTCTGTCTCTGACAATGTCTATATTTTTAACAAAAGAATCGAAATAACCTGTTCCACACAAAAATGCTTAAGCAAATTTAGCTAAGAGCAGCAGAACACTGAAAAATTCAATTTATGTTTCTTAGATAAATACACAGCTACGTAAAACATTTTCTAGTAAGGGTCAGTAAGGGGTTATTTTGCTACTTTAAATGTTTTTAATACTTTATTTATTTTGAGAGAGAGAGAACAGGGAAGGGGCAGAGAGAGAAGGAGACACAGAATCCAAAGCAGGCTCCAGGCTCTGAGATGTCAGCACAGAGCCTGACGTGGGGCTTGAACCCATGAACTCCAAGATCATGACCTGAGCTGAAGTCAGACGCTTAACTGACTGAGGCCACCCAGGAGCCCCTCGCTACTTTAAAAAGGTAGCCCTTGAAAACTATTCCAGCTAATGGGTGTTCACCCATTCCTTCCTGATGTGGTACCTGGTATGGCGTCCCTGGGCGCTGTCCTCTGTAGGAGATTTAGGTAGGGGCTGAGGACCCATTTCCCTCTCCTGGTTGGCATCCCTTTACATCTCTTCTTGCTTCAGCAAGAACTGGGGGCAAATCTCCTTAATGAGGATAAGAAAGCCTTTAAGAAAAATCTATTAATACCAGGAAGGGGAGAGTCCTGACTGCCAGAGTCTAGGGAGTAGGGACGGGGGTGAGGCTAACTCTCTCTGGGCTTGATTACTGATTACGACCCTCTCTCCTACCTCTACTCTCTCCACACACGTTTTCCCCAGGGACAGTGACCAGCACCCAAAGCTTGGAATGAAGGTGGTTAGTAGAACCAGTGAGAATTTGTATAAATACCGTCAATTGCCCTGTCACTGTACCTAGGAATCTGAAAAGGTAGCTAATAGTAAGTCTTTCCCTTGAAAATGAGGGGCCAGGGAGAAGCTGCGGTAACCAAGGGGAGGAGGAAATCCCTCCTGAGTTCTGGATTTCGGAGGCCATCTGTGAAGTCAGGGTAAACCAAGTCCTCAGACCGGTTCAAATCACCATTACAACGTCGGTAAAATGCAGATGTCACGGTTAATGAACTAACACCACGGCGCGTTGACCTCAGCTCATCTCCAAATGAGCTGCTTGGGGGGCACTCAGAAATAGGTAAACAGAGAAGGCACATGAGTTTAAAATGAGACCTGATCTTGCACACGGAGTTAGGGTATTTCTGGCCATGTAGGGGGAAAGGAAGTCTGTCCTGGCAAGAAGTGTCAGCCCTGGACAGTGGCCTGTCACTGCCAAGCATGAATGAGAGGAAAGCCAGCTCACTTCCTGTCTGCTGTCCCTTCCTGGGCACCTCCTTTGCGGGGCCCTCCCTGGAGATGCCCCGAGGCTTCCAGCAGCTGGGACCACGTGGGAGAGGAGGGCGGGAAGAGTTTGCATCAAGCGTCCCAGGTGTTGGAAACCTGTCCCCAAAAGCAACACAGAACTTTCTCAAGGTTCCTGAAGTTTCCCAAGTTCACAGCAGTTTATCTGTGGATTAAAGCAGATCTGGCTCACTCTCAACAATAGCCAAAACATGGAAAGAGCCTAAGTGTCCATCAACGGACGAATGGATCAAGAAGATATGGTTTATCTATACCATGGAATACTACATGGCAATGAGAAACAATGAAATCTGGCCATGTGTAGCAACATGGATGGACCTTGAGGGTGTTTTGCTGACTGAAATAAGTCAGGCAGAGAAGGACAGATACCATATGTTTGCACGTATAGAAGGATTAGGAGGAACTTAACGGAGAACCATGGGGGACTAGAAGGGGGGAAATAGTGGGGGAGAGAGAGAGAGGCAAACCACGAGAGACTCTTGAATGCTGAGAACAAACTGAGGACAGATGGGTGTGGGGGGGAGGGGGGAGACGGGCATGGAGGAGGGCACTTGTGGGGATGAGCACTGGGTGTTATATGGAAACCAACTTGACAATAAACTATTTGTAAAAAAATAAAAATTAAAATAAATTAAAAAATAAAATATTTAAAAAAAATAAAGCAGAGCTGGCTCAAAGCCATGGAATGGGCAGCGGGCCAGGCCAGGGCTCCCAGTGCAGATTCCGAAAGCCTGTGGCTTGCTTGGGTGGAGGGGGTGTGATTCTGAAGCATTTGGAATATATGATAAATGGAATAACAGAACAAGTTTGCTTCTTCCTGGTGTTACATAATTCAAAAAGAGTAAAGATCTGTTGTTTCAAAAAACAAAAAAAAAAAAACAAAAAAAAAAACCCACAAAAACACCCTGTCCTATCTTCATCTCATAATATTTCTTTCTTCCAGAAGACAACCACATTCTCAGACTCCAGAACCACATTTTCAATTCCTCAGATTGAACCAAACATTCTGACGGTTTTGATATTTTCCACATCTTATAAAGACAAGGCATGTTGGCTGCTTGCATTTTAATTTTCTCGAAGACCTAAAAATGGTTGGCGGATCAGACGAAAAAACAGTCTTCAGTACAAAATCCCCAAGCCCTCAGACTTATTTTGACTCAAGCTGTTACCATGTAGAAAAACCAATTCAATATTTTAAAAATACAAAGTATTTCAGATATGCAGAAAAGGATGAAGGATATAACAAACACCTTTGAGCTCACTATTCAATATAAACAATAAAACATGTACAGGTCAATACAGTTGAAGTCCCCACTATTAGCCTTCCCCACCCCACTTCTGGATAACTACTATCCTGAATTTGATATCGTCCCCATGCTGTCTTAATTACTTTACTATGGTCTTGTTTTACATGCTTCTTAAGTTTCATATAAATTATATGTAATATGTATTTTAATAATATGTAACATATAATAATATGTATACTGCATTCAACTGCAATCTGGTTTTTCTCTATAATCATGAGATTCATCTATGTGGATACATGCACATCAAAAATTTGTATATCATCCATGTACAATACGTACTTAGCACAATTTATCTTTCCATTGCTAAATATTGCCTCATTGTTCTAAAAGTGGCACCAATTTCAACATCCACTATCAATGTATAAAAGAGTACTTGTTGCTTAATCCCTGTGGCAAAGCTTGGTATTATCATTATCAGACTATAATTTTTGCAATTTTAGAGCAAAGGGACAACCCCCTTGAAGTTTTAGTTTGCATTTCTGATTACTAGTGAACTTACATGTGTCTATTAGCCTCTTAGTTTTTAACTTCTTTGAATAATGTCTGTATCTTTGGATTATTTTCTATTGGTAGTTTGTTCTTTATGTGTCTTTAATACTAATCCTTTCTCCATATTGTGCAAATATTTTCCCTCCTCATACTTCGTACTTTCCCTCCTTGTCTTTGCTTAAGGTGAATTTTGGTGCATAAATGTTTTGAAGTTTAATACAGTTAAATTTCAGCAGTCATTTACTTTTGACTTGCCTGGATCTTGTCTAAGAAATGCTTCGCTATTGCAAGATGATAAAGATAAACCTCTGGTATCTTCATCTGAAAGTTCCAACTTTTGGTTTCGCATTTAGTTCCTCAGTCTCTCTAGGATTGATTTTTGTGTTTGGTGTGAGATAGGGATCCATTTTTTCCATTTGGAAAGCCCATAGCCCCAGTTCCCTTTATCGACTAGTTCAGCTCTCTCCCCCAGACCCTTCAGGGCCACTTCTGATGTCCTTCAAGTACTGAACTCTCAGCCTTGTTCTACCAATCTCTTTGCCTATCCCTGGATGAAAACCACGCTGTCTTAAGTACTACAGTTGTATAAAAGGGATTGATATTACAGTAAAGCAATTCCTCCACCTCATTCTATATTAAAAATCATTTTGGCCATTTGGGGGCACAACTTTCATCTTTATCCTTTCCTTGAGTTTGCCCTGGTCTGGTACAAGCCACCAAATGGTAGCTAAGTAAGCAGAAGGAAGAAATCAAGGCAAAGTCAGTCCTGGATAATACATACGCTGAATATTTAACTCCTAAGTATATGAATTCTTAGGAAGTTACCGTGTAGTAATATAGAAAGCCCATATAAAATAAAGCATGTTTTTACCAAAACAAAACAAAACAAAACAAAAAGCAACCAAACAAGAACATGTAAAAACCTTTCTGAGCAAGGCTCGTTTAAAAACTGAAACTAGAAACCGTCCCTGGTCAATACCAATGTTCTTGCCTTTATTTCCTAAAAATACTACTTTTTCCTAAAAATACTATTTCCTAAAAATACTATTTCCTATTTCCTAAAAATACTACAGGTTTTTTTAAACCTGCCTATCCAAAGGGGGAGAGACAGGGATTTTTCTTTTTAATTTTTAAACATTTATTTATATTTGAGATAGAGATAGACAGAGTGTGAGCAGGGGAGGGGCAGAGAGAAAGAGACAGAGACAGAATCTGAAGCAGGCTCCAGGCTCTGAGCTGTCAGCACAGAACTTGACACAGGGCTCAAACTCATGAGCCGTGAGATCATGACCTGTGCTGAAATCAGACGCTTAGTGGACTGAGCCACCTAGGTGCCCCTTAATGTTTGTTTGTTTATTTTGAGAGAGAAGGAGAGGGGTGCAGGGAGAGGAGAAGAGAGAGAAGAGTGAGAATCCCAAGCATGCTCCAGGCTGTCAGCACAGAGCCCGATGTGGGGCTCCATCTCACGAACTGTGAGATCACGACCTGAGCTGAGATAAAGAGTCAGATGCTCCACTGACTGAGCCACCCTGGCGCCCCTAAAAATACTGCTTTTAAACAGTTTGCATATAGCTCATCATAAGGAGTTCTGTGAAATAGTGTTAAAACTTTGCATTTGTTTCCCAGATCCCTCAGAGAATCCAAATTGAAGGTCAGTCTGTCCCTGAGAAACCCTGAGAATGCGCCAATCTTGTCAAGCATGGGTCTGGGGATGAAGTGTGCTTTATCTTCCTGTGAAATGCTCTCAGTGACATTTTTATAACCCTGTGCTTCCTGCTTGGTGTTCTGCAGTGTCTTCAGATTCAGACCCTCTTGTACGGAGCGCAGGACAAGAGGACTCTGGCCACCCAGCAGACAGTGGACGCCCTGTCCAAGTGAGTTGGCTTCCCCTCGCACTGTTTCCTTTGCCATTCATATCTCAGAGGAAGCTGGTTCTGGAAGGTTGCGTGGAACTTTCCGTGGAAAGTTTGACTAACTGACTTCCCATAACTTATAAACTATGCAAGGCCAATGATTCCTTTGAAAACCCGGCTGTCAAATAGCTCCCTTGCCCAGATACTAAGAAAAGATTAGCTCTTGAATAATGGCAGACACTCACACTGGGATTCTCCCTCCTGCAGACCAGGGCCCGCAGGTCATCTCCCCTGCTGGGCGGCAAGGGCACAGTGCCCTGGCTTGGCCCGCTGGAGGCCTGCCTTCGGTTGTCAGCGGGGGTTGTCAGCGGGCCGGTCAGGAAGGCGACCTGAGAGCCCTCTGACTTCATTGGGGGCCGGGCCCCAGGTCTTTCCACGCCCCTCGCAGGGCCTGTGTGGCCCAGAGCCTGTGAGCCTACTGCCAAGGAAGGATCAGGAGAACCGAAGGCCAGGAGACAGCCAGCAGGGGGCGCTGTCTCAGAGCCGACGGCCCGAGCCAGGGGCCACCTTGAACCTGGAGCCAGCCAAGGCCTCCAGCCCGACCTGCGTCCGCGTGCCCTGCTCGCGGAGCCAGCTAAGGGTTCACTCTCTCAGCTCGGTGAGAAAATGGTCGCAAGGGATTAGAACGCGGGAGAAAAACCCTGGGTTTTAGGCTGCGGTGACCTCAGTGACATTGACTCCCCGGGCTCCTTGGCCAACCGTAGGCTCAGCAGCCCCTGGGCTTCTCTTCAGAGCAGCAGTGGCCCGAGGGGCAGCACGCTCACCCCACTTTCTGCTCGTTTGCAGGGCCCCTGAGGTGGCCGCGAGGACGCGGCAGGCCCCGAAGGCCAAAGCGGCCTTCTGCACCGGCGCGCCGGGGAGGGCCCGGCCCAGCGCAGCCGACTGAGAGCCCCGCCCGCCCCGGGGAAGGCCCAGGCCAGGCCTGGGTGCTGACGTTCAGGGTGCTGTGTAAACCTCTCTGACTCGAAGATGGAATTCGACAGACTTCCGGGGCTGTCTGCTCCAGCCTGCCACAGAGTTGCCGCGTTGGGACCGCGGGTGCCCCTCGGGGTGCTAGGTGCGTCTATAAAGCACGTTTCTTTTTAATATTTTTTTTTTATTATTTATTTCTAGGAGAGAGAGAGAGCGAGAGACAGCGTGAGCAGGGGAGGGTCAGAGAGAGAGGGAGACACAGACTCCGAAATAGGCTCCAGGCTCCGAGCTGGCAGCACAGAGCCCGACGCGGGGCTCGAACCCACGAACCGCGAGATCATGACCTAAGCGAAAGTCGGACGCTTAACCGACTAAGCTACCCAGGCGCCCCAAGCACGTTTCTTTTTTACCGCCCGAGTGGTTCTTCTTGCCAACACTTTCCACCCGGCAGCGCCACTGCGGCTGAAAGGCTCCTCTTCGAAAGTTGAAAGCTTCCTGTGTCTGGAAGTAGACCCAGCATCTGGCTGTCCACACACGGCCCCTTGCACAGATCTGATTTACAGCAACAAAATGCTGGCTAAAGCCCTTTCTTTCCTGGAGGAAGGTGATGGGGATGGAGAGTCAAACGCGGAGAAGAGGAATGTCGGAGGTGCTGGGGTTGGTGTGTGGTTTGCAAACGCAGCCCTGCCTCGGGGTTCCTCGGGGCCTAGAGAGGGGCTCCGGGAAGCTTCTCTTTACCCCTGCAGTCAGTCACCGAGTGTGGCTGAGCGCCCCGTGTGCACCGGGCAGACGTTCTGAGCGGGGGACCTAACCCTCCACAGGTCGCCCTGGCCCCTCCCCCCAGGCCGTGCCACCCCGCATGGACGCTCATTACTAAGCATAACGCGGTGGACTGAGTTCGCAACAGAGGCGAAGAGCCCAGCTCAGCGGCGCGTAGAGTAAACGGGCTGGAGGGCAGGGGAGGCGGATGTAAGGGAGCCGAGACAGAGGAGTAGGGGTGAGGCCAGCAGGGAAGGGCTGCAGGAGAGGGCCTCAGGCTCCTGGGGCCTCTCCTCCAGGCAGGAGAGACACTGCCGCCCTCTAGAGGTTCTTGCTGGAGTCGGCACAGCCCCGGCCCCCAGCCCTCGCTATTTGCCCAGGTGGCACAGGGAGGGTGGCGCGGACAAGCACACATGTCCACAGTGGTCTTCGGTCTCCCGCGGCGGCGGCCACTGCCCTCCAGAAGGGAAAAGCGGAGTGGGGAGCTCTGAGCACCTGACTTCACGGTGTCTGCAATGAGCCCGGGTGCTGGAAGGAGGCAGGCAGAGTACACAGTGCGGGGGCTGGGCTGTGGGCACCGCTGACCTTCCCCTTCCCACCCTCATCCCACAGGCTGCGGCCCAACCACGCTGCAGGCTGGTGCTAGACCCGCAGCGGGACGCAGCACGGCCCCTCCCCCCGAGCGCCCGCCAGGAAACTCAAGGCCGCCCCGGATCCGTTTGTGCAGGGTGGAGAGAGAGGCAGCGTCCCTCGTCCCCCTTGGAAGTTGTGACAGCTGCCCACACAGGCCACCCCCTCTCGTATCCACTCATACCAGGTGGGATGAAGGCCACGGGCAGTGAAGGCATGAGACACAGTCACTGCGCACCGAACATCTCAACTAGTTGGAGACACAGGTTTCAGCGTGGATGGTGGAATGTGTTCTGCCTCCACAGCGCACTGGAGTCGGCCAGGGACTGAATGTGTGCCTCCAAACTTCATCATGAAGCCCTAATCCCCAGTGAGAACATATTAGGAGGTGGGGCCTCTGGGAGGTGATTCAAACCCGAGACAAGAGCCCCGTGAACGGGATTAGTGCCCTTATTAGAAGAAACACGAGGGAGATAATCGCTCTCTCCCCCGTTAGGTCACAGCAGACCAGGCACTGAATCTATCAGCACCCTGATCCTCCACTTCCGGCTTCCAGAACTGGTGGAGCTAACTGGCCTCTGTTGAAGCCTCCCTCCCAGTCTGTGGTACCGCTGTTGTAGCCGCCTGAGCAGACAGAGAGCTTTTTTTTTTTTTTAGGGGGGGGGGGGGAGGTGAATTCTGAGGTTACTTCTTCCTTTCTATATTTCTTGGAGTAGATCTTGCAATCACAGAAACTAAAATGTATTTTTAAAAACCCAGTCCCTACCCCAGGAAAGAATGAATTTAGGCATGCCCCACCCAAGTGTCTCCCATCTATTAAATGTGTTAACTTCAACCAGAGAGGAAGACTATAGATATTCGTGGGGTGGAAGGGGGGTTTGGTAAAAAGTTACACACAGGTAGGGGATCCTAATAACTATTCCTTTGTCTCATTCTACTGCAAGTTTTTCAAGCACCTAAGAAACAGCCGTGATTAACTAACCGCTCCAATTTGCACTTCAAGTAACCAACCATTTTGGTGTGCGTAGGGCTGTCTCGGTTTTAGCACTGAAAGTCGCATGTCCTGGGGGACCCCTCTGTCCCAGGCTAAACAGGGTGGCTGGTCACCCTCCTGACACAGCCTTCCAGCCTGTGATGACCACATTCTTACCACAAACTGTCCAGTCTATTTGAATACGAGCCAGTTGCTTTTTACTCTGTCTGCTCTGCTTTGTAGTTCTGTGTTAACAGTATCAAATCAACAGTATGTGATTTGGATAAGGAGCCAGAACTTTTCATACATATTCTCCGCAGTGATTCTGGGCCACCATTAAAAAAAAAAAAAAAAAAAAAACATGTATGTAAAACACATAGCTGCTTTAATTAGAGCTTAAATAGAAACCACGAATGGAAAACAGTCATTCTCTTTAGGAACAATGTGGAGGGTTGAGTTTTTTTTTTTTTCTTAGACTTTTATTTTTATACATTCTTGTGACATTTCCCTTCGTAGGGAACAGGAGCTTAGAAAGATGAGCTTTGTAAATGATTCTGTTCTAAATATACATTTGAAACAAACAGTATCGAAACAACCAGCGGGAAGGTGACAAACATTCCATTAATACTGTTTTGTCTACGCAACAGCGAACATTGGTTCTGTCCTGACCCACAAAGGTGATTTCTGTGGTCTCCCGAGCGACTGGTTTTAAAGGACACAGAGCTCTGAGGTGACCTTCACAGTGTGGAGGGCATCCTTGCTCCCGGGTGATCCACAAACTGACTAGCCAAAGACAGCTCAGGAGTCCATATTGGTAAGTGCTCGTGGCCGGGTGCCTCTTGAAGATATGTGTTCTAACGTGGAAATATAAATTAAGACCTAAGATATTTTCCAAAGAGGGGTGGGTCATGATATTACTAATCTGTCCACATTAGCACTCATTTACAAGATCACAAGGCAGGGGCGGGACACTAAAGCGAGCCAGCTCAGACTCACATAACAGACCCCCCGTCCTCAGTCTGTCTTGCCATCAAAACAGTAGGCTGTCACCTTGACCAATGAAGTCACCTCTACAAATACCATTACCAATTACAGCTCACATAAAATCAGCCCATCTTTGACTCTATTCGAAATGGGAAGGCTTTGTTTGCAAAGCCATCACCTCTGTACCAGTCGGTGACAACCACTAGCTCATCTGGAAGATAACAAAGGTTTAACCTTGCAATTCGACTTTTTCTGTACCCTGATTCACAGTGTTTTTATAAAACAGATCATCCTGAAAGCTCTGCTGCATTTCTCCTCCACTTATTAAGAAAATGCACTCCCCCTAAACTACCTGCTGTAGCCATTTCTGGGAGCTGAGGATCACTGTGTGACATCCCCCCTCACCACCCCAAGGGAAGACCTTCATGCCACATCCGCCACCCCCATCATCATCCTGTAACGCCACCAGAGGTTGGCATTACCTTCAACCATTATTCCTCAGCGCGCTATTGGAAGTTCTAGGATTCTGTTACTTGAAGTGCATTTTAAACAACGCTATGTGCAAGCAACTAGTCTGGATTAAAATAATACCGTGCTGCTGGAGAGGTAATTTCTGTGTGACGCTATACCTTTAAAGATGGAAGCCTTAAAAGCAATGCCCTTCTATAAAATAAAACCAACCCAGTAAAGGATACTCACTCTTTCTAGTATCTTAAACTTGACGGTGTGTACCTGCAGGTCGGCGTCCCATGGCCCATGAGGGGAGGGCCTTTGCCTTCCTCCGGGGTCCCTCCTGGGTGCCAGGCAGCAGGAGAGACACCAGTCCCTGCCCCTAGACACCTTACCCTATGTAACGTGAGTACTCTCTTCCCTGGGCAAAAAAAAAACCCAACTGTAATGATTTCTGTTGAAACTGCAAAAACTGCCTCAAAGTTGGTTGTCATTTTGCATCGCTCAGACCTCGGCCCCTTTCGCGGTGCATGGAAAGGGCTTCTCTGTGAGGCCCAGTCCGGCCGGTGCTTCCAGTGTCACCGCACAGGACCATCGGGCAAGGCCGGGGCACTGGCATTCTCTTCACTGTCTTCAGGGTCTGCCTCCCGCCAGTAAAATTAAACGCGTAGACAGTGCTAAGGGCTAAAGTGCAGAGAAGCTTAACACTGACGGAGGCGGCTCCCGCAGAACTTAGTTGTAACAAACCAGAATATTTGTGGCTACTTAACAAGCTAGTGCAGTGAGAAAGAAACAAGAAAGAAACACATAACCTGTTCCCCCACACTCCGGCCTAAACTTGTACAAATATAGCGAGTGTGCTGACTTGGACTGTCAAACAGGCTGACGCTGTCCTCTCCATAAATAAAAATACTATATATTTTTTAAAGTGCTGCACATAGAAAGCAATCCATTCAAGTCTTAAAGTGAATTTAACTTTTTCCTAAAGATAGAATCATTTAGGGTCTTTTTTTTTTAATTTTTGTTTTTTATGGAAGCAATCTGCTTCTTTCGTAGGCTTTCTTTTTGAGAAGACTTGGAAAAGTGACAAATGTGTACATTTTTCCTTTTAAATGTTAGTTATTTCATATTAGCACATGCAAATAAAATTTAGTCTTAAATATATTACTTTAATCTTATATAGGCATCTTACTATATGGTTACCATTTAGGCATCTTCCCTATAGAGAGTTGATTATAGTGTTGATTATAGATGCGAGGCATTTCCGTGACCAGGAGCAAAATTGATCGAAATTGTCTTGAGCAGTGGAGAGAAAACTCCAGAAAAAAAATATATTTTTGTCAAAGTTCCAACTCAAAAGTAAAACTCCAATGCCTTCCAAGGCGTGAATCAATCTGACACCTTTACAGGTTATAAAGCAAGTTGACATCGCCTGGAAGGCTCTTTGGAGAAAGTACAAAAGGGAGGAGGTCTTCATAAAGACTGAGCCTCCCTCCTTCAAAGAAGTCAAGGCCTTTGTGTGCTACCATGTCGCCCAAATAAGACACCACTGAAAACAAAAGTATTTGCTTATCAAAACCAGTGGCCCTCATTCTCCTCCTCCTGCGTGTCTAGATAGAGGAGGGCAACTTTCTTTTCATCCGAGATCACCGACCTCTGGTCTACCATCCTCTGTAGCTGCACCGTCTTGTCAAACTCGGCCTGCGCCTTGCCCTTTTCCCCGGGAACCTGGTGTCCGTCCCCAGAGGAGCCCTGAAAGCTCACGCTGGCCACCCAGGCATTCCCGCTGCCCCCGTCTCTCCAGGCACCGTGGTCAGGGGCACCACCTGCCGCTGCTTCCGACCCTGCGGGGAAGACGACGGTGGTCTCTCGCGTCCAGCGGGGGTTGGCCTCCACGTTACTCAGGTCCACCTGAAAGGTAAATGGAGTGTCTTTGGGGCCCCGTGCAACGTGCCCCAGCAGCGCACTGCTGCCTGCTAACTCGCCCAGCTCAGGGGAGGCTGCCAGGCCGGCAGGGGCGAGCATTTCGGAAACGGGTCCGTGAAAGAAGGCCTGTTCCGAGGCTCTGCTTTCTGTAGGAAATATGCCTGAAGGGTCTGCCCATGCCCGATGTCTCCTCTGCCCCTGGCGTGTCTCCCGCACTGGCCTCCTGAGGCAACCGGGAACTGGCACTTTGGAAGGTGCCCTTTCCAGTCACCAGGATCTTCCTACCCACGGCGTAGCTACGAGCAGCCTGCCTCACATCCGCCGAGCCCTCCCCACGGGCACGCTTTCTGAGGCGCTGAATTCCCTGGGCAGGGGAACCGTCTGCTCAGTGCCCTGATGCCACCAAGACCCGACTGTGACCCGACTGACGGATCTGCCGTCCCCCAGCCACCCTTCAGTGCACGTGGAAGTCTCCCTGACACCCGACGCCCTTCTGTCTGAAAGCGGGGCTGTGAACTGGATTTGCTCCCCGAACCCCTCTCCAGGGCCCACCTGAAGGTGCCGTACAGAAGTCTGGGTACCCACAGGCTCTTCTGGCTGGAAATATGCATCAGCCTTCCCTGCCCCAGAAATGGGGTCCTGGAAAGTAATTTCCCTCTCAGCATGACACGGTTTGGAGCCAAACACACTGCGCCTCCCGCTGCGTCCCTATCCCTCCCCCACAGCTCTGCTGTGCTCCTGATCTCCTGAAAGGCAGGGACAAACCCTTGGAGGAAGGCTTCCCTGGACACATGACTTCAATCAGGACCCAGGGTGAAGTGTCCCACAGACCCAGTGGCTCCTGACGCGCTCACGGCTGGACTTACGTCACCGTCCCCACTTACCTCCACCACTTGTGCAGTGGGTCCTTCTCGTGAGACTTGCTCAGTCCTCCAAATCCCAGTGGGCTCTACTTGAACACGCCTGACAGACCGGCTCACATCCTCTACCACGTGTGACCGGGCGAAGCCCCTCGGGCTGGTGACTTCCACCGTGGCTGACACCGGACCCGGGGAAGTAACCTGCTCCGTGCTCGGAGAGGCCGGGCTGGCATCGCCCTCCTCTCCCCCGGGGCGGTACAGCTCTTGGGTGGCCCAGCGCTTGAAGCGAAAGCCGGCAGCCGGGGCGTCCTCTGCGGTCTCCCTGTCTGGGCTGCCGGGCGCAGGGCCCTGCTGCCCAGCCAGGCTGTCTCGCACCACCGACTCCACGGTTTTCTCGATTTCACTGGCTTCATCTTTGCTCAGCTCCTCCAGGTCCAACTGATCGGCATCCACGGTTCTCGAGAGGTTGACTTCGGCAACCAAGGTCACGGACCTACCCCCAGAGGTGTGGACTTTCTTTACATCGACTGAAATGTTCTCCGGCCCGCCCTGGCCCTCCCTGGTGAGGGCAGACAGCTCTTCCTTCATGCGCTCCGGAAGGCTGTCTTCCAGCTGCCCGATGACCTCCACCAGCTGGTGTCTGGGCTCCTTGAAGGCCCCCTTAATGGACGTGTGGAACTCATGTGGTATCTTGATCTCCTTCTCAATGACTGTGGGTTCGGCATGAAATTCTCCACTTCTAGCTTGTTCTTTCCAGTGAGTAGAACCCACGTCCTCCTCCACAGAGGGTTCTGAAACGTCCAGCGGCCTCACCACCTTCTCTCCCAGCCCATCATCCGCCTTTACTCTTCTCCGAGTCCCTGGCACGATTTCATCTTGCCAAGAGTACCTGATGGTGGACTCTTCCTCGATGTGGATCTGCCCATAAACTGAGCCCTCCTCTCTGTCCTGTCCCCCAGGGTGCTCATCTGGCGTCGACACAAAATAGCTCTGCTCTCCCTCCGAGTCGCCTGCCTCCATTACTTCTTCAACACGAGTTACGTTCCCCTGGGGTCGCTTGGTCTTTTCATGCTGATTACCTGAGAACGTGCTGTCTGTTTCTCCATAACCCTCTTCCTCCTCAACCAGCCCCTTGGAGCCCGGAGACACATCATCAACCTCCTCCACCTCGAAGGGGGTAGAAAACTCATCTGCCTTCTCCCCGGCGACATAGCTCACGGGCTCCTCAATGATCTCCACGTTGACCACCCTTGCCCTCCCCTCCCTCCCTTTCAGACCCAGGTTGATTATGTCTCCTATCATCCGCTCGGTCGATTTGCCTTTCAGGTCCACCTCCTTCACATCCTTGCTCAGAAGGTAGTCCAGGCCAGCCTCCTCTGAAATATCCACCTCTTCCGTCAATTTCGACTCCACGACTATCTCGGTCTTTGTTTTCCCTTCTCCGGGAAGCTCCTTCCTGTCCATGTAAGTGACCTTCGTGTCCGGAAAAGAATTAGCAGACGCCTCTGTATTGGGAGACTGGGTAAATTGCTTCAGGATACTGGAGACGATGTTTTCGGCTATGGTTTCAGTCGTGGAGTCACCCTTCGGGGCGCTGGTGGTGGTGTCGCCGGCACCCAGCCTGAACCCGGCCTGCCTCCTTTCCACGCCTCTGCCTGCATCCTCACGAGCGTCCCCCTGGAGGGAAGCCTGCAAACCTTTCGGGACCTCCCCTAGTGTGCTATCCTGGGAGACTTCTAGACTGATCGGTACCTCTCTTTCTTGGACACTCTTCTTTTCCGACTCCTTCCCTCTCTCCTTTTCCCTCATTTGCTGGCTCTCTCTCTTCCTTGCTTCTTTATCTAACTTTGTCAGCTCTTCCCACCTTAGATTCCTCTCCTCTGAAGCCTTCTCTTTGGAATCAAACATCTTCTCTTCCCGCTTTGTTTGGACGGTGCCTGGCCTGTTCCTCTCCTGCTCTCTCACGGCATCAGCCTCCGTCTTCCGTTCCACAAGGACGGTTCTCTCACTTGACCACGTGCTTCTAGAAGCATTTTCCCGAGAGGACTTTGGGGCAACGGCGGGCTCTTTGGCTACATTAGCGGAGGCGGCCTTTGTACCTGCGGTTCTCGGTCCTTCGGGGAATGTTTTCACTGGAGCCTCAGTCTCCCTTAAAATACCAGGCGTTGGAGAGAAAGTTCTGACCCTGGCTTGGCCGCTGGCAGTTTTCTCGTGAGAGTCGGCAGTCCTACGGTCAGTTTTCTCCCACCGGGTAGTGGTTAGGGAAGAATATCCCGAGCCTAGGAAGCCAGTGCCCGCAGCACCCGCGCCGGTGGGCCGAGCTCCGGGCTGTGCCGACAGGTCAGAGCGCCACGCCAGGCCGTGGCCGGAGCTCGCCGGAGGGGCCTTCCGCCTGGACAGCAGATTTCGTTCATTCTCCCTCCGCAACACCGTGCTGCCGTACTGATAGGATCTGCTTCTGAAGTCTGTGGAAAATGACAGTCATCATCACCTCCTCTCCTCTTAAAAGCATCACTACAGGTCAAATCCCATCCCATCCTCATAAACACATATGATTACGGCAGAAAGGGCCCTTACAAATGAGCTATTTTCCACCCCTAAATCATTGATTCCGGTAGTTTAAAAAAATCCCATTACAATAAAACGCAGGGCCACGTGCACCGCAGCACAGCACTCTCCTCCCGTTGCGGACCTTCAAATAATCATCCACCTGCACAAACATCAGCAAACGGGGGCTCACACCACCCGGCACGTGCATTAGAGAGGTCGTGGCTGCTGGTCTCTGTGGATGAAATTTCACAGCGCCGTGACCGTTGGGAAGCCTTCACCGCTGCTTTGCTGACATCCTATGTTTATTTTACTTACTTCCGTGGAGAAGAGAGCTTCATAACTACAGAGTATGAGATCGCTCCACATGCACTGGCATTATCCCTCCCCCATTTAACATGCTCTCATTTGTCACTGGTTTCTGTGTTGGGCCAACAAGTATTGACAAAGTTAACTTTTTCTTAAAACTCCCTGGCTTCTTCTATTTTTTACTTCCATTTTTACTTATTTATTTTTTTTACTAGCTGCTCATTTGAAAGGGAGCCAGAGCAGGAAGCCGACCAGTCACCAACACTACGGTCTGTTTTAATGTCCTTCCTGCTTTGCTCCGGATCGTCCACAGAGGGTGCTACCCTCGGGGACACCCAACCTCCAGGTGGTGGTTAGAACGCGGTCAGGAGCACCGACCACCTGGAGAGCGCCCCCTTGTGCCCGCCACACCCCATCCGGCTGAGCCCAGCAAAGCCTACTCTCCTCCATCTCCCCCTCATCACAGCAACCAAGGCCAGGGGCCTCTTTGGGACAGACCCTAGGGAACACGAGAGAGACCAGGCCAGGACACTTTCTCCAAGATTCTTCCTTCTGGGTCAAAATACTGATCCTAAACAGAGAAGCCCCAGAAGATGAATCCCCGGGAAATTACACAAACCGTCTGGTGTTTAATTAAGATTCCCCAAGAAATATGGAAGGTAACAGACTGGTTTCAGGCTGTCACCTGAGTGTGGGCAAGTGGCCAGCACTATTCTATACACTACTACAAAAGAAACACAAGCATATTCATAAGCATTGATAAATTCATGATCTAAGAACACAGCCATACATTTATTCAGTGAACAGTTAATGGGTATGTGAACTATCTGGAAACTCAAAGCCTATTAAAAGAGTTCACAACTGGTCCTCTTTATTCTAATGCTACCTGCTTTTAGCAGAATCGAGAATCGCTAAAATAAGTTTAGTTTACAAATACTGTCCCTGTACCCTGTAAGAAGCCTGACGAAGCAATCAGTGAATGAAACAAGTTAACAGAGGCCCGCAGTAACCCTCTTGCAGAGTTCTTCCTAGGCTCCAAGATCACAGGTAAATAAAAACCAGCAAGCGCTGGCCCTAAACTGCTGGTTTTCCTCAGAGCCTGGCCCCAGCCCTTTGCCCCTCTCTCCCTTCTAAGTGATGTGACGGACTTTCAGACTTAAATATCCTCACGTCCAAAATCTACGTGACTAAGAAAACCTTGAAATCCGGTGAACGACATCTTTGCCTTTTTCAACCTTACACTCAAAATTAGAAAGCACACTTGCTGGATATTGTCTAAGACCCGATTCCTACCAGTCACAGACACCTGTAACTAAAATTATTGTTCTGAACCAGCGACCGTTCAGATCTGTGAAGTGCCTGCTGTTTTTGAAAAATAAAGATGGAAACTGTTTTGGTTTTTTTTTAAATCTGCCATCTATCCAGACTGGCTGTTAACTAACTATTCTCCCGACGGAGGTACCAAATATATGCACTCCCAATTTGCCATGATTTTGAATACAGTAATACTCATGCAGACCGAACTCTGCTGAGTAAGATATATACTAAACACAGTGTTAGTAATTTAATCTGCCTTGCTTAGCCAAAAGCCCTTGAAGATTCCATAGGGCTTTAAAGCTTTCCTTTTTTTCTTTTGTAAAGTTATACTACAGGTTTCTTAGGGTCTTTCTAGTGAACACTAACCTGTCCATTGGTTCTGTAGCTACAGGAAATATGAACTTCATTCTGTGACTTTTGGCCTCAATCAAGACAGACCTCAGGGCACCCAGGGACACCTGCTACCCATGTCAACCTGAGCTGCCCAGGCCAACGCAGCTCAGTTATACAAATGGTGTAACCCCTCCCAGCTCTCCCTCCATGGGGTAGCGAGTTCCAGAATGTTGACTGTCTGTTGCACAAATACCTCCCTACACTTGTGTTAAAACTGTAAGTCTTTGGTCCGCAAAGGGTGTTTCCTCCAAAGGGTATAATAAACAAGTCCACGTCCACCATCTCCTCGCCTTTCCCCGTTCCCGCCTTTCCATCAGCCCCCCCCTTCTCCTCCCTGCACTGGGTAGGAAGTGCCCCCACAGTACTGGCTAGATGAATAAATGAGCTTACTACACACTCTTCCACGCATTCACATTCACACTGTTATTTAAACCATAGCCTATCAAATAAAACCTATCTGGTACTTAAGAGAGGGATGAACGATACTTATCTGAACAAAATCATACCTAACCCCAAAGTCTTTCCGACAAATGATGCCTTACTATGTACCCGCGGACTGAAACTGTTCATACAGAAAACATCTTAAAATTAAATATTTAGCTTTGCTCATATTTACCTTGTGGCACGTTTTCAATGCGCTCAGTCAAGATCAGTATCTCCGGGTTACTTTCTCCTTCCAATAAGGCTCTGTAAAAAATAATTTTTAAAAAAATCCATCAGGAAATAAAAGCGTGAGGAGTGCTGCTGTGAGCCACAGTACATGGTATCTGGTCTATGACCACATTGTCACAGTGTCCCGTGTTTTAGGACTCATGTCTGAAGTTAGTGCACCACAGGGATGCAAGCCCACCTCAGCGGGTCTGCCTGGACAGAGCAATGAACATGAGGGGCAAGGGCTACAGACGTTCTAGAAAGCCCTTCCAAGCCCAGGACAAGGAAGAAGAAGAAGAAGAACTGTGGGCCCAGGAGGGGAGGTCAGGGGTCTGGCTTGTCTGGGAAGTGGGGACGGGCCCGTGCATGGCGAGTCTCCCCAGGGCCAAAGGGCCCCAGAAGAACTATAACTCCCACAGGAGTCTTTCTGGAGTCACACGTTGGGCGCTGACTAGGTGCAGAGTGAGGACAGACACTGGTTTGTAAATCAAGCAGCCAGACTGCATCTGTGGTTTTCACATGGGGTTTCCTGGAAAGGAAAGGGAAAAGAGAGATGGCTGCGGTCCCTTTCTCCATCATGTCATCCAGAGAGGCCTCCTGTTCTCTCCTTTTTATAAAAAATTTTTTTTCAATGTTTTATTTCTGAGAGAGAGACCGCATGAACAGGGGAGGGTCAGAGAGAGACGGAGACACAGAATCTGAAGCAGGTTCCAGGCTCTGAGCTGTCAGCACAGAGCCCAACGTGGGGTTCGAACCCACCCACAAACCGTGAGATCATGACCTGAGCCGAAGTCGGACGCTCAACTGACTGAGCCCCCCAGGCGCCCCTGTTCTCTCCTTTAATGAAACAGCAAAAGGCACCTGACCAGGTGATGCCTTTGGCCACAGCCTGGCCAACTGCAGAGTGAGTCTCCAGTAAGTCGTCATTGACGTGTACAACTCCGAGGGGAGAATGGGCTGTGGGGCCCGAAACACCCGGCGTGCTGGGACAGGTTAGCACCGGGACGCCCGTCACCCGGAGACCCCGAGGCCGCTGGCTGCTGCAGCCACAACAGTTGCTTGGTTGCTAGGGCGATGTGTGAAGTCACTAACGTCAGTTCCAAGAAACACACTGTATATGGCAAAGGGCAACCAGAAGCCGGGCCCACTTGGAAACCCTGGTATTACCGCTGAGAGCTGGGCACGAAACCAGAGAAGACACGCCAGATCCGAGCGGGGACTCGGTGCTTCGGGCAAACCGGCGCCAAGTCCTGTTTCCACCGATTCAAATGTGGTGATCCCCGTGAGTGCGGGAACCCGCGGGCAGGGGGAGGGCGGCCAAGGAGGAGCCCTCCACCCGCCGCCGAGGGAAAAAGCAAAGACGGGGACAAATGGGATTCTGCTCCAGGTGTACATGGCAGGGGAGGGGACTGCCACGGAAGCCAGGGTTGAGGTACACGCGTGTAGATGCAGGCAGATGAGGGGCCCGGTCCAGAGCCCCAGCCCGTCCCCTCGGGCCGGAAGCCAGGAAACAGGACACCAGCCCGTTAATCCCACATCCTCATGACCAAGCGCTTTAGGTTCCAGGAACAGAAATAGCTTCCATCAGTGAGAAAATTCCAAGGCCTGTATATAATAAGAGGAAGGTTCAGGGTAAGAGCCAGACCCTCAGGGACCCTCGACCATGTGGCTGTCACAGCCAAGGGGTAGGGCTTGGGGACCCACTCAGCTCTTCTCGGGCACCACAGGGCCTCTGGCTGGAGCTGCCCCGGTCAGGACAGAATGCTCATGAGGAGTCCGGGTCAGCAGTGAATGCAGTGACAAGGCCGGGCAGGGGGACCCGAATAAAGATCCCCTGGGCGGTAAAAATATGCTCCCCCATCTCTCAAAGAGAATGCTTTCATTCCTCTCTCGGGAAATCCAAACCATCACCCAACTCCAACTGAGTTCCGGACCCTGAGTGGGAGGCTATGGTCACCTAGGAGTGGGCAGGAGCCACCCGAAGGGTCTGCATGGTCACGTGCTGGTCACCGGCCCTGGCTACGTCTGGGCACCAAGCATGGCTCTGATGCTCGTGAAGCCCTCCTACAACCTCCCCCACCCCGACCCCATACACACACAGAGCCGACAAGAAGCATCTGGCTCAGAGGTAAGAGCATGGAATGCAGGGAGAGGGTCTTGTCTGAAGGCACCAGGCTCACCAGTGGGAGGGTCGATGGAGCCCAGGCAGCCCGGGGACCCGTCCGTCCCTGCGGGCCGCTGACACCTTCCTGCCAGGCTAACACGTCGGTATTTCATACACATTCTCAAAAGCACAAGTCCTGCAGACAGACCCTCAAGAACGTATCAACGAAAGCAAATTCAATGCCTTTCTTGACTTCCATCAAAACGCCCCTACAGGGCCCTGCCGCAGCGTGTGAAGCTCCTCGCCAGGAAGAACTCGGTCCTCCCCTCGATGGCTGGCTCCTGGAAGGCAAGACGAGCCGGAGCGGCCAGCCCAGAGTCTTACAGGCACAGTTGAGGGACTGGTCACTGAATTCACGCCCTAATTAACAGACGCCTCTCCTGACACCCTGCCCTGGGCCAGCACAGCGCCGCACAGGACTCACAGGACAGAGGCACAGACCGAATCTGCCGAGGAGACGCCAGAAATTTCCTCAAAAGCTCTAAAAGGAACACTTTTTAAGGAAGAGACTCCTACAACTTTAAGAAAAGGGTAGAGCGTTCTCTGGTTATTTCGAGAGCACTGGAGGAAAACGGCCGCCAAGCCGTGGTGACTGTGAGAAATGCCAACCCCCTGAATCACGAGCTATTAGTGCACATTTCATACGGCCCCGCAGGCTGGCAGCCTGTGAGAGCAGGAAAATAAGCAAACATGTGCGGGAAAACCAAGTCCCTGGCCTCATTAAGGAGTCCGAGAGAAATCCATAGAGTGTAAGTGAGCTATAATGTGGCCTCTGGCCAGGCTCCAGGCCCTAATAGACCCCACTGGTCAACAGAGCCGGGCCCACAGCAGGGGCTCTCTGGCCGGATAGATTATCCTAATGGAATTACAGGGCATGTCCGCTGTGATTCCTCACTGGGGGCACAAGGCGTGCCTCTGTCTACAGTAAGTGCAGACAAGGGTGACAGAAGAGGGCCACTTGGAAGATGCTTCCAGAAGTGATGCCAGTAGAGCCTACTGGGTTGGTTCACAAAGTGCTTCCTGGCTAAGTGCAGGGGCGGGAGTGAGGGGAGGAAAGGGGGACACAGCCGGGAGAAGGAGCCTTAGAACAGCCTCCCTGGCCTTTAAGCTCCAGAGACGGTGGGGGGCTGCCTGCCACCCTGACTGGACTAGGCACTAAGTGCAGGAGGGGCAGGGACAGAGGACACGCATCACCGTGCGCACTGGAAGGGCTCTGCCCACGCTACAGGTGTTCCGTGGGAGATAAGGCTAGGGCCATGCTGCTTCCGGGCATTCCCTCTGTGCTCAGCACCAAATCACGTATCAAAGGCCCATCCATCCATTCTAGAGACTGGAAAAACAAACAAACAAAAAAATCAAATCATCAGCAGAGAGACCAAGATTACTAATAAAACAGAGAAAGGAAGGAAGCACAGGGAGTGGTTGATGGAGAAACTTCCAGAGTCAGGCTGCCTGGATTCAAATCCTGGGCCTGCCACTTCCTCATTCAGTGACCTTGGTTGGGCAAGCTACCCAATCCCTCTGTGACTCACTTTCCCCATTTCTGAGACAGGGCCGGCATGTGGCAGCGGTGACCTGGAAAGTTCTCACAACAGCGGCGATCACAGAACAGGTGCTCGGTAAATGTTCATGCCCATCATTACCTTCTTCTACTGGCCTAAGAAGAGAGCTAGTTTTCGGTTAAGTGAAGCATAAGTTCCCCGCCCAAGAGGGGAAGAGATTCTGGGTAACCCACGATCCTGGTTAACAAAGGGTAACTTGTGTCTGCAGTGAGGTGGGGAAGGCTAGCACTCAGACATCCGGGTTACTCCTCTGTCTCCCCTCCTTGAAGCTACATCACGGATTTCAAAGATCTCCCCTAATAACTGGCTAAGTCTCAGTGTTGATACATGGTTATACGTTTTCAAAAGAGTAGGATTTAATTTAGAAAATCTAACTGTATTCCTCCAAGAGCCTGAGAAATTCCAAAGAACTGTTTTTCCTTTGAACCGGAGCACGTAAAGGGATACGTAATCCCCCCCAAAAATAATACAGCAACCAGAAATATCATTACAATGAGGAAATTGCCAAGGGCAGGAATGATCTGTATTGCTTTATTAGCTGTCCAAATCCAGAGACTGAATATTTATTTCCCCCAGTTGAGACACGCAGTCTCTGCTGCCATTAGAAAGAGGAAACAGGAAGCCGGCACGTCCCCGCCGCACAGGCATACAAAGAGCATGTTTTGACTTTGACGTTGTTTCCAACCTAACCTTTTAAAAAGGACTTTGCCTGACAGATTGTGGGCAGCAAATCTTTGCATTACATGTTCATATCTGGCCAGACAAGCCTCCCTTCAGTATTTTCCTTTTTAAAAAATTGTCTGGCCCCGCTTTCCATTTCTCCAAGCGACATTTAGAACCACTGTTACATATTTCACCCCCAAAACCTAAAAAACAAAGTGGCATTTTAAATTTGAGGCAGAGGGGCGCCTGGGTGGCTCAGTCGGTTAAGTGTCTGATTTCGGCTCAGGTCATGATCTCACTGTTCATGAGTTCGAGCCCCGCATCAGGCTCTGTGCTGACAGCTCTGTCTGTCTGTCTCTCAGAAATAAATAAAACATTTTAAAAAATTTAAATTTGAGGAAGAATGCATCACCTGACCCTCCAGATGAGAAAGCCAGGATGGGCCTCTCACGCACACGATTTTCATAGCCCGCGGTTTTGTGGTTTCTGGACTCCGTTTATTCCTGGGTGTTTTTGCATTTCTTTTTGGTTTCACCTCTAAATATTTCTTTTTCATTCTATTTTCTAATCGCTTATTCCTGATGACTGGGTTCTGTTCTCTTTTTGTGTGTGGGCGGGGGCAGCTGTGGAGAGGAGACTGTTTTCCAGCTGCATCTCTGTGAGCTGCCATCTGCAGCTTTGGGGCCAGGTCTTCATGTCGGCAGTGGGAGGGGTCTGGGACACCATGGGCTCTGGGCAGCACCACTGTCCCCTGGTTTTCATGAAGTGTGAACAAGCAGCTGCTTCACGGAGGGGGCTAGCGGCCGTGGTCTTGTCTGCAAGAGCATGCAATGAGCGGTGCCCTTCCCCCACACTCCTACCCGTCCCCCACCCCACCCCCCCAGCACCCCGGCCAGGTTCCGGTGCCTTAGTCAGCCCACACCGAGGCTCCCTTGGCCACCCATGTCAGGTCCTCCCTACCTGAATCGCTGGTGACTGTAGGGACATCCTGAGGTCTCCCCGCACCCACACCCCCCCCCAACCTCAACACCCAGTCCTCCTGCCCTGCAGCAGCCATCAGCTGCCTCCCTGCCCCCTGCTTGCTGCAGAGTCGGCCTCAGCGGCCTCCACTTGAGGCCCCTCCATCTGCCTCCTTCCCGGGCCTCTGTTCTCTCACTTCGCATTCTCCTTCCTCCACCTGTTATCCGAGCGGCCTCATCCACCTGGATGGAGCTCCTTCCGGAGTCCTGCCTGCCAGTCACTTCCTGCTGCTGATGTTCCCACCCCTTTCAGGCCAACTCAAATCTCTCACCTCCTGAAAATCTCTCCTGCAAACCTCTGTCCCTTCTCTGAACCATCTTTCTCTGACCCTGTTAGCTGGCAGTAAACGGTCTCTAGTATTTTCTTGGAACATGTGCTCTTTTATCACCTTGTTTGGCTTTTCACCTAAGGGGACTGGTCTCTCCCCATACGCCATGCTCCACTTCCCGCCTCCCCCTCTCCTTACGTGTCCAATCGAATCTCCACCATCCTTCAAGATCCACATCAGTCTCACCTCCCTCAGAACTCCCTTCTGATCTCCAGATGTCTTGCAGTTGTGTGTTGTAGGGCGTTTCTTGTTTCCTACGGTGCAGGAGGTGACTTATATCCCCACAGCCTTAGCCACCACATGTGGCCCTCGAGGCCAAGCTACGCTGTGTGTTTGCACACCCTTCTGCGCAGGCACGGCACCCCGCCCACCGGCGTCTCTGGAACAGCCGCGGGGCGGACCTCACTCACAAAACGTGGCCTCACAGGTGTGGCTCTAGCCCCTCCATCACACACACAGCCCCCAAAACCAAGCTGCCATGCTAGCTCAGTCCTCAGATCCTCGCCCAGGTTGGCCCTTCTGCCCGGAACCTTTCCCACATGATCTTTCTGGAAGCCCGTGCTGCATGCCTCATCCATGATGCCCCCATAGCACCCGGCACACAGGAAGCCTGCCCTTCACTTGCCTCATCTCGGGGCTCCTATGAGACAGGCTTAGTGCTCTCGAGATGTCCCCGAGCGGCTCGGCAAGCAGTGGTGTGCACACCAATCACCAGGGATCTCGTTATGAGGCCAACTTGGACCAGGAGGTCTGGATGGGCCTGAGGTTCTGCATTTCCCACAGGCTTGAAGCGATGCCAACACTGGCGGTCTGGACCCATGCTTCTCTGCCCCGGCTGCACCCGATGGTCTCCTGGGAGCTGCAAAACCACCAGGCCTGGGCCCATCCTGGGTTAAGCGAAACGGAATTTCCAGCATGGGGCCCAGGGGCCGAAGCTTTATCAGGTCTCCAGATGACCCCCAGGTACAGACGGGGCTGAGAACCACCCCTGGTCCCACCGGGAGTCTCCCCTCCAGCCACTCCCCTGCCAGCGTAATAAACACACTCGGGGAAAAGCCTCGTGATCATGGGTCTGGCAGACAAGCACCTCCAGCCCCAGACGACTTCACTGGCGACAGGTAGATGTGAGCACGGGCCCCGTGCCAGCCCTTCTCCCGTGCTCGCCCCGGTAAACTCTATGTCTACGTTTAATTATAAATTATACTATTTTGTTAGTGGTGTTTCTTCTTCGTGGTGAAGAGCCAGATAAGTGGTTTCGGAAGTGTTGGGGACACCTGAGCGCCAGCCTAAGCAGAGCGGACAAATTCCAGCTGTACTGGGAAGTGCTGCCAACTTTAAGGAGTGACAGCCCCTTCTTCTTCCATATGAGATGCTTAGCCAGGATGATGGCCACCGCCTCTGCGCACTGCACAGAAAGCCTGGGGCAAACGTACCTGATCTCAGGAGAGGGAAGCAATACCCGCCACGCTGTCAGCCAGCCCCGGCCCCTCTGGACAGGGCTGGTGAGACGTCACCCTGCAGGGGGCCCTGGGCTCCGGTCCCCAGGAGGCCGACGGTCTCTGCTGCACTCAGTGGAGCAGGGTGCGGAAGGAAGGTCAAGTTCCTCAAAGACAGTGCGTCAAGACTTACAAAGATCAAATGGGTGCTTGTGAAAGGGTCCGAAGCACAAAAGGCCGCTAATGTAAATATGAATTTTCCTTCCTGGCCTAGAGTGGGCAGCAGGACAAAATCCTGGAAGAGTCACATATGACAAGGGCTTCTCTGTAGGACACCCAGCAGTGACAATAATGCTAGACTTTTGGCTCATACAGAAAAAGGATTATATTCAACTGCCTGTATGTCTTTGAGATTTGTGGGCGTCTCCCAGGCCACATCCTGAGCCCTGGGGGGTAGGGAGGCCTGCAAGCTGTTCTAACCACTGGGGTATCTGCAACCGGGCAGGGACAGGCCCAGGCACATCATTTTTCCCATGCAAACTTGGATGTCAGAGAGACACATGGTGAAATCAATCACCTGCTTTCCAGAAAGTACTGTTGCCTTCTAAATTCCTAGGAGGTAGCCAAGTCAATCCTTAATTGGGTTAGAGAAATGCCAGCAATAGACAGAAGCAGTACACTGGGCCCTTGCTGACCGTCACGCTGCTAGGTCAACCCACATCTGCTCTAGGTCAAGAGCAAATTCAGGGTGCCTCCCCCCATCTCAATCCGTGTGACTCACAGGAGGGAGACCCCTTCTTCCAAGCTCCAGAGCACTTCGTCCCCCTGACCAGGGACTGGCACATGGCCCAACAGAGCTCCCACAGGCTTCCCACCCTCCATTCAGCTGCTGGGCCCTAGGCGGGCCTTACCCCCTAGTGGCTGCCTTGGGCCCAGGCCAGGAGCTGCCTGATAGCCTGCTCCCTCTCCACTGATGGTACTAAGGGCCCTGATGGGAGGCTGGCTGAGGCAAGTCCTTGAGTCCTTCCAGACAGTTCAGACCGTGAGGGTGGCCCAAGGCTGCCGGCTACGAATGCATATCAAAGCTACCCAGGCCACTTTGATATTCTGAGAGCAAAGTTATGATCAGAAGACTGTGCAGACAGCCCACAGGGAGGTGCTGAAGTAGGCCTGGCTCTGCCTCTAACCAAGGGAGTGGACCCTGGTCCCCTCCTTTTCCTCGCCAGGTTTACTCCCCCAATCTGCTAGCAGTGATGCTGTTAGAAGATGGCATTTACGACCATGTCTTCTACTCACTTGCCGAGGCAGATATTCCTGAGCTCGTTTACACCCATGATAGAGTTATGCTCCGACATATCCTGGAAATGAAAGGGGGAGCATCATGCCTGCTCTACATGGTTTGGTGGGTAAGGCACCGATCTCTCACCAGCCTGGACCCCTGCCTTCCAGGCCCCTCTCCCACACCTGGGAAAGGGGTGAGGGGTATCTACCCACCAGAGAGGGCGACTGCGGAGCAGTGAATGCCGCAGAGGGCTTGCTCAATAATGGTGGTTGCTGCTATGGGGGTCTGGGGTCTCTCAAAGTGCTTCCACTGTAAGTGTCTGAGATCAGGACCCCTCTGTACCAGTCCTCACTGAACACAAGAGCTGCAACAAATATGGGCACCACCCCAACCAAAGACCGCTGACCTCGGGGGCCGGAAGGGAAAGGAAGGTCAAGGGCAGCATCGTTCTGCTGGCCCACAGGCGGTTCCAGGGACCCCGGGCTACGTTCTCCACCCCACCCAGCATCCAGCCCCTTTGACGACTTTGAGACCTTTTCATCTGGGTCGCTCACCCCCAATTCAAGTCAAGATCTTGATAAACAAAGCCAGCTGCCCAGCGTACCATTGCTATCTGCTGGCAGACATGCAGGTCCTCAAGGCCAAAGCCGTGGGGGGTGGAGTCAGAGTCCTGAGATTTGAACAGTGCAACAGGCACGTGGACTTGGGAGTTTCCAGGTCTGAGTCCCAACCCCTCACATTCTAGCTCCCTGACTTCCCTGAGTGAAGTTTGTCGCCCTGTGAACGCAGGAGCTGATTCCTAGGATGCAAGGAGCTGACACAAGCCAGGATGCGAAGACACCAGGCAAGGGTGTGAATTCTGCTATTCCCATAATGGGGGGGGGGGGGGCCGGGGGACGGCATCTGCCCCGTGATCTAAGTGAGTTCCTGCTCTTCCTCTCTCTTTGGCCCTGGACTCGGGCTGGCCACGCCAGGGTTTGCCCTCTGATTATCACAGAGCCTCAGGGACTCCAGAGATTACGGGTGATTCCCAGCTTCTCCAAGGCAGCCTCTCCACAAAGCAACCTTACCGATACGTTGCCACCTCCAGGCTGAGGCCGGTCTTCACCTGCACGAGGTCCTGATAGTCCCGCAGCCGGTCGGCCATGGCCAAGGTGAGCTCCGCCTTCTCATCCTCCAGGCAGGCAATCACTCTCTAAGGAGAATAGAGGGCTTTCAGATCACAGGACTAGAGCTTCGCTTGGTCAACGTGAAGGTACCAACAGTTCAAGACCCCCCCACACACACACCTCTCCCCCACACACACAACCACCTCTAGGCTTATTAAAGATGCAGTCATTGTCAGGGTGTTTTCAATACAGTATTTCTTTCACATGAAAGGTTTTTTTGTATTGCAAACGGATGATTTTGACAGGACACTGGCTCCTCTGTTCCTATTCTCTAATAATAATGAATGCTTAGAAGTTTATTAAAGAATCTCTGCTTAGGAAACTGAGCCCATCAAACCAGTCTACAAAGATGCTATTGAAAGTAAGCCCAGACCAGAGAGCAGGTGGTTTGCAATATCGAAAACAGAAATCACTCCTGTTTGAAACAGAGTTTTCTCCGTACTCATGATTTCCCCAACAATAAGCAGGTACACTGACAGAGCTCTGTGTTTCACCTAAAAAAGCGACTTTACAATCCTCTGGGGAGAAAAGCGACACTGATGAGACAAATATCTTCTGGGCATACATGTCAATTCAGGCCAGGATATCAGTCTTCTCACTGTACTTGAAGGACGGGGCCGTGAGCACTCCCTCCGCGCATGCTCACATCATCCTCACAGCCCTTAGCCGGTTCCACTCACACCAGCTAATTACATGTGACCTTCTCTCCTGCTGGGATGCACTGACGGGCGTGGCCTGCCATCTTGGGCATCCTCTTCCTTTAGAAAAATGCCCGCCCCCTCTAAGTGGCAGAGTAACTGGACTGGAATTGATCAAGATAATAGTACCTCCTCAAGATGTGCTATTTTTTTTTAATTTTTAAAATGTTTATTTTTGAAAGAGAGACAGAGTGCAAGCAGGGGAGGGGAGGGGAGAGACAGGAGACACAGAATCCAAAGCAGGCTCCAGGCTCTGAGCTGTCAGCACAGAGCCCGAAGCGGGGCCTGAACTCACAAACCATGAGATCATGACCCGAGCTGAAGTCAGATCCTTAACTGACTGAGCCCCCCAGATGCCCCAAGATGTGCTACTTCAAATCGACAATACCTTTTAGTTAATGAACGCAACGGCTCCATCAGTGCTATTTTATAGCTTTGCTGTTACTCTGCATTATAGTTTTTGCATAACATTTTATAGCTGCTCTGGGGAATAATTAACTGAGCACATATTTAAACACTGAAATGAGTCCATGTACTTTAATTTATGGCTTGTAATGGAACACAGCATTATGTCTGAATACAGTTCACTAAACTGACTACATTTTTAGGTATTCATCTTTGTAGAATTCAAAACCAGTAAACCGAGCAGGAGAGGGATCTATTTCCATTCCCCATGTAATCCCTTCAGCAAAGGCACCTAACGATATGCTAAAGGCCCACAGTTAATATGTAAATAAAACCAAAGAATGAACTAAGATCTCACACTGGATCTACCATTTTAAACAATGCACAACCTGTGGGGAAAATAATTCTGCCTCCCTGGAGAGTTCTAGCTCAGCTAGATTCTCCTGGTATATAAAAGGTGCTCAAAACAAACAAACAAACAAAAAAAAACCCTGAAACTATTTAGCTTTTAAAGCAAAGGAGTATATTTCAGAACCTCTATCGAGTATCCCAGAGTAGATATCTGTTAATCTCCTCAAAAGCTGGCATGTAAGTCGATAAAGACCTTCTCCAAAGCAGACCATTGGCCAGTCTGGATTTAAGTGACAAGGTGGCCAGAATTTGGCCAGGACATTCCTCCATTTATAGTTAAGTCTGGTGTTAAAATCCTCTGCTCCCCCATGTTAGAGGGAGTAGAATCCCAGGTATAAGGTTAGAGTATAAAACATGCTACAACCAAAGCCATTACTCCTTTCTACTACAGGAAATTCAACCTAAATCTCAAAACTTAAGAATCTGTAGTAATGTATTCTTTACAGAGAACTTCAATTATTGTGAACTCGCTTAGAAAAATATATACATATATATACATATATGTGCGTGTATGTATGTATGTATATATAAATGTCACATGCACTCGATTCTCCAACCATAAATCTCCTGAGCAGGTCAGGACCTCCCAGCCAGGCCAGAGCGATATGCCCGAAGATTCTCTCTCTCCCCAAAAGTCACTCTAGAACAGTTCTGCACCCCCACAAAATACAAGGAAGAAAATCAAACCGTGTTTAAGTTAAAAAATACAGTTCCAACCGCATTTCCATGTGATTCAACCCTTCCTAAACCGTCCAAGGAAAATTACTTGACTTTTGGAAGCAGGAACTTATTATTGGCTCCTAATAGTCTCCACAGAAATTGTAACCAATCCCACTGGTTGAAGAAAGCTTCAGACCTGGCTTCTACGACCTGGCTTCTACCTCGCCAGGAGTTTTCAAACCGTGGGCCAGGCCTCATGCCCTGGAGCAGGAAACACAGCATGTGGATTCTAACTAGCCAAGCAAAAGCAGATCGGCCATTATAAACAGCAGATCCACTTTATAAAAGCTGGGGACGGAGGTCACCGTTTTTCATTACTATTTCGGGAACTTGTGGATGGCATCAGAACGGACTGCGAAATGAAGGTCTGCATCAGGGAAGGCATGCTGACAGTGTCCTGAGAAATCACTTTCTCTTAACCACACTGAAGCCGCTCTTTGCTGAGCAAGACACACAGACAAAACAGGAAGAGCTTGCAAATGTCAGTCACTCAGGATCCCGAGTGTTAGAGCTGGAGGGGATTTAAATGCCATGATAACCTCGTTTAGATACAAGAAACTGAATGTATTAATAATTACAAGCATTAATTGAAGGCTAAGTTTCTACGGCTCTAGTCCAGACAATACCCTCAACTCCAGACTCGTAATTTTGTGCTACAAGTGGGTATGTAAGAGGCATCTCAAAGGGAACTCCCATCTCCCACCCAAATCTGCCAAATCTCCTGCTGCGACCCCTCCAGCAAAGAGCGCTCCTTTTTTTCAGTAATTCAGGCCACGAGCACTGGCATCAACTGGGATTTCTCCCCGTCTCTTCCGCAGCCATCCAGTCCATCCGCAAACCCTGTCACCTTTAACTTTGGAGTAGAGCTTTCTCTGGGCACCGCACCCCCCCCCCCCCCGCAACCTCCCTGCTGCCTCTGGTCCAAGCACCCTGCCTGGATTATTACTACAGTCTCCTAAAAAGCTCTCCCTGCTCCCACTCTTGTCCCACATAGTCTACGTTCTGTACAGAAGCCAGAGCAATTCCACTCAAGCACAGTCAGGCCACCACTCCCCGCTGCTCACAGCCATTTGGTGGCTTCCCGTGCCGCTCAGGGCAAAAGCCCACGTACTACAGAGGCCACTTACCCCCTTACTCCCTCTGCTTAGCCCCCTCACTTACCTCACTTACCCCCCTTACTCCTGAACACCGGGATCTGTTTCCACCTAAAGACCTTTAAAATCAAGGGACTTTCTGTTTTGTTCACTGCTCTATCCCTGGTCCTTAAGAACCAAGCTTGCTTGGCACACTATGGGCTTGACAGCCCACGGATAAACGAATGAACTGGATTTTATGATCCCTTTTTCACAAATGGGGAAACTGAGACACAATCAGTGAGTGGCAGAGGCAGGCATCAGGCCCGGGCAGGGCGGCTGACCCATCCCCATTCCGATCAAAAGCAAGCTCTCGTTCAGTTACGTTTTGGGACTTGCAAGCCTTTTATAGTTAGCCTCAAAGGCGAAGAGCTCAGCTGCACAAACACACAATCTCAGTGTTTACAGGGTAAGGCTGGCATGAACCACAAATATCTTAACCTTTTGTCCAAAGCTCCTTCCTGCAAACCGGGAGACACAGTGTATTATTCAGGCTTTAAGTGATCTAACGCACATATAAAATGCCAGAGACTCGGGTGTCTAGTTCAGCAAACTTCTCTCTGGCAAATCTGAGGGGAAAGGCCCAACAAAGAGACGGCCTAACATGCAGGCCTCAGGGGAAAAACCACTTTTCCCAGAAAGGCAGTCCTAGCTAGCGTCTCATTCTCTTGGGCTGCAGAGGAGGCCCCGAGCCAGGAGGACTCTCTGGGCACCGGGTGGGGGGTGCCTGCCTCCAGGTGGGGGAGGGGAGGGGCCCCACGAAACCACATGGAACCCGAAAACTCAAGGAAGCACATTTGACATGAAAACTATCCTGACCACAGCCAGCTGGGAGGGTCCGAAAGGATTTTTAGGAGTTTTAGATTAACTGGGGACCGCTGGGCTGGCCCCGAGGAAGAACAACATTATTCTATGAATGCAAAGAGAATATGGGGTAAAGGTTTATCTTTGATGGGAACAGAGATGTGGCTCAGGGGTTAGTTTGCTCAGATCCTGGCACCTGAGTAGAACGCTGGCTTAGCCACTTACAAACTAGGTGACTAATGTGCTTCGGTCATCATCTGTGGAATGGGGCTAATTTTAGTATCCACCTGATAAGATCAGGGTGAGGACTAAGAGTGAATTTGTGTGAAGGGCCTGGTCCCTGTGGCACCTGACGCACAAGAAGTGCTTGATAAAGGCTAACTCCTGGTGATGAAACATGTACTACATTATACTAGTTAAATCAGGTTTTATGGTATTTTCAGGCTACCCAGAGGGAGCGTCTATAGAATTTGAAGACATCAAGGGCTCGGGTTTAAATCACTGATACACACTCTTTAACAAAATGCCTAGTATCTTTACACTTTAAAAAAAAAATACTCTAAAAAATTTTTTTAAAAAGGGGAGGGGCGCCTGGGTGGCTCAGTCAGTTACGGGTCTGACTTTGGCTCAGGTCATGATCTCACAGTTTCTGAGTCTGAGCCCTGCGTCGGGCTCTGTGCTGACCACTCACAGCCTGGAGCCTGCTTCAGATTCTGTGTCTCCTTCTCTCTCTCTGCCCCTCCTCCACTCACACTGTCTCTCTCTGTCTCTTAAAGATGAATGAATGTAGGGGCGCCTGGGTGGCTTAGTTGGTTAAGCGTCCGACTTTCGCTTGGGTCATGATCTCACGGTTCGTGGGTTCGAGCCCCGCGTCGGGCTCTGTGCTGACTGCCAGCTCGGAGCCTGGAGCCTGTTTCAGTCTGTGACTCCCTCTCTCTCTGACCCTCCCCTGCTCACGCTGTCTCTCTCTCTCTCTCTCCTAGAAATAAATAAAAAAACATTTAAAAAAAAAAAAAAAGATGAATGAATGTTGAAAAAATTTTTTTCACTACAATAAATAAATAAATAAAATAATACTCTGATGATTGGTGTTGAATCTTTGGAACACAGTTTGACATGCGGCTGCTTTGAGCTAACTGGGGAAAGATTCGGGATACGGTAAGGGAATGAATGGAAGAGAAAACAATCCAAGCCCCATTACCATTCCTTGCTCTCTTTTAGGGCAAAGAAGCAAATTCCAATGAGAGAGGGACCACCCAGACAGACAGCTGAGGGCGGGGTCCTGGTCCCCCATCAGGTGTGACCCCAGGGAAGGCGCATCTTCGCTGGGCCCTGGTCTCTGCCTCGAAGAGCAGAACAGTGCTTCCGGCCGTACATCCCAAGTCCCCATCTCTGCGCAGTCGGAAGAGCTTTCATCTGCTCCCATCTGGGGCTGCACAAAGATTTCTTTATGGGGAAAAGGGTCCTGGTGTTATAAAAGAACCCCGTAACCAGAGCTTCGATGGCCAACACGGGCCAAGTGAGCTGTGAGCTGGACTACAGTGAATGGTGAGGGTTTGGCCCCCGTGATACGCCTGCAAGAAGCAGTTTCCAAATGTCCGGCGCAGCCCCAGCCCTGAAGGTGGGAGCAGGAATACCCTACAAGGGGGTGAGTGGACCGTACGTTTGGCCCGCGCTGTTCTGGGTAAAAGCTCCGTGAAAGCCCGCACTAAGCCACTCTTAACACGCAACACAGCGAACGGGGCCCGCGGAATCAGCATCTCTGGCCGTCATCGCTGGACCGGGAAGCACTCTAGGGTCTCGAGAAAGCTCTGGAAATCAGCACACATTCCAGCCAACCCCTACCTCTGCTCCACCTACAACCTCAGGAGAATGCTTCTGAAAATTATGAGGAAGAAAATTAAGACCCACGTTCCAAAAGACTATATTCCAAGCAACTTTAGGGGTGCCTGGGTGGCTCAGTTAGTTAAGCGGCCGACTTTGGCTCAGGTCATGAGTTCAAGGTTTGGGAGTTCGAGCCCCGCCTCAGGCTCTCTGCTGTCAACATGGAGCCTGCTTTGGATCCTCTGTCTCCCTCTCCAAATAGCTCTCTCCCTCTCAAAAATAAACATTTTTAAAATATTATGAATTCCAAATAACTTAGTATTGTATTGTTTTACAGGATTTCCCGTCTAGGCTCCAGCTCTGTGTCTCTTTGAATACTGAAACCCCACCGCAGTGCTGAGGACCCTAGGAGCAGCCAATAGACGTTTGCTGACCGTCTGTCGACACGTGTCACACCACCATGGTCCTCTATGCTGCAACCTTCATGTTTCATTTACATGTAACTTACCAAAAAAAAAAAAAAAAAAAGGCACAAAATCACTTTGCCCCAGATCTTCAACCCCACACTACAAACTATCCCCTTAAAATAGTGGATGTTATTGTACACTGTCCTCCGGAGAACAAGGGAATGAGACGATTTGGGAATATTTTCAATTGTGGCGCAGCCGAGGCAAGACCAGGGCCAACCCCAGCACCGGACTGCGTGTACAATCATCAGCCACAGGTGTCACCGGGTCGGTGTCAGAGGTCTGGGCTTTGCCTCTCCGAAATAGTAACTGTTGATATCACCCTGCGCTTGTAATAACACCCTGCCCCAGGGCCCAGCACGTTTCCACAACCCTTCCACTACCCGGGGGTCTGACGGTCCGCTGGTGCTGTGGGAAAATACGCCACGGATCTAAGCTCCTCTCCTGCCTCTCCCAAGAACAAACAAGGCGAGGCGCCCAGAGGGCCAAACCAGCTGCCTCCTCCCGGGCAATCACTCTGGCAAAATAGAAACCGGTTTAGGAAACAACCTTAAGTTCCCCCCAGGGGTGCCCCAAGGCTATGGGGCTGTCATTTTGAAGTGCCCTGGAAGGACTTGACTGTGCCTAGAACCTCCCCCCCCACCCCCCACGCTGAGACCTATCTGAGAAGGAATGAGCTGTTGCCTCTGAAGCCACTTGCGGAAGTCAGAGGGGCTTCTTGGCTGACTTTCATGTGAATCAGGTGCAAAAGTACAGGAAACTGAAAGAGAACCCGGAGGTGATGGGGTCTCTGGCCCCGATGCACCCTCTGATGTCAAGATCGAAAGAAACTGACAATCTAACTAGATGGCAGAGACGGCTCCGCCACAGGGCACTCGCCGGCGGACCCACCCACCGCGCTCCTCTCCTGCGGCTGGTGAGACGCCGGGACCCCCCTAGGCCCCCTTCAGCACCCAGCTCCCAGGGCCGTTCGGGCACCTCTGGGACCCGCCCCACCCGTCGGCGGCGCCACGCCCAGGGCGCACGCAGCGGGTCCGCGAAGCCCCGCCGCTCCCCTACCCTCACCACCCGCAGGGGGCCGGGGTGGGGCGGCGCGGGCGCACGCACCTGCCGCTCCTCCGCCTGCAGCTCGTACGCCCCCCGCAGCCGCAGCAGCTCTTCCTCCAGCAGCGCGCGCGTCTGATCCAGCTCGAGCGCCTCGCGCCGCAGCGCCTCCGCCTCCTGCGCGCACAGCCGCGTCTCCTCCTCGGCCTCGCGCCGGCTCTCCTGGCCGCGCCGCAGCGCCTCCTCCAGCTCGCGCACCTCGTCCTCGTACAGCCGCACGGTCTCCTGCCACGACTCGGCCACCAGCAGCGCGTAGCTGTCGTGCACCTCCCGCAGGCGCGGCGGGGCCGCGGCGGGGCCGGCGGCGCGGGCGCGGTAGGTCATGGTCAGGCGGGCGGCGCGCTCGCGCAGCTCCCGCACGTCGCGCTCGTGGGCCGCTTCCAGGCCCCGGCGCTCGGCCTGCAGCCGGCCCAGCAGCGCCTCGAGCGCGGCGCGCGCGCCCAGCGCCTCCTGCAGCTCGCGCCGCTGCGCGCTCAGCTCGGCGTCCAGGCGGCCGCGGGCGGCGCGCTCCTCCTCGCCCAGCCGCCGCAGCTCCCACAGCTCGCGCCGCAGCGCGTCGCGCTCGCCCTCGGCCAGAGTCGTGGCCCAGCTCAGCTCGTCCAGCTGCTGCCGCAGGCCGCGCGCCTCCTCGGCGAAGCGCGCCTGCCCCTCGGCCCACAAGCTCTCCTGCCCGCGGCGGCCGCGCAGCTCCTCCTCCAGCAGCAGGTTTTCGCGCTCCAGCTCCCGCACGCGGCACACATAGTCGTAGAGCCGGGCGTTGAGCTCCTGCAGCTCGGCCTTCTCGGGGCCCGTGTGAAGCCGCCAGGACAGCATCTTGCTGGGCGTACGGGGCGCTGCCGACCGCTTCCCTCCCGCCCTGGTCTTGTCCCCTCCTCCGCGCCGCTCCGGCCCCGCCGCTGCCCGGGACGCCCGCAGACTGGGGCGGGAGCCGGCGCGCCCGGGCACTTAGCGGACGGGGCGGGCGGGAGCGGGCCAATCAGAGCGCGGCCCGGCGAGGCCACCGTGGCCGGATGGCGCCCCCTGCCGGAACGACACACTGGGACACCAGGGTACTACGGGGTGGCTCGCACAGTTGCCTGCACTCAAGACAGCCATTCATTTTCAATTCTTCAACTTGCCAGGAGTCCGGCCCGCCGCTCCTGGCCTGTCCGGGCAGGAGACCTTCTCCGGGACCTCCCAGCGGGATGCGTGGCTCTTTACTCCTTAGGCTTTCCTTGCCCCGATGTCTTACATTCTGAAAGCCAAAACTTCCTCCCTACTGCTGCTCTAAATCCTGTCCTTGTGAAAGGGCTGCTCTAGGGTACAGCGGCCCAGTTTGGGAAAGAGCCCTAGGACACCAGGAAATGGCAAGAGAACAGGAAAAAGTACCACCAGTTAATCTCTCAAAATAATGTCCTGCGGGATCACACTTAATTCGCAGAAAAACGGTAGCTCAGAGACGTTGAGAGACTTGCCTGTGGACACACAGTACCTAAATTTGGGAACAGAAGTATTGGAAGCTGTGTCCACCACGAGCCGACTTGAGCGGGCAGGGTCCTGCCGGGAAACATAGAGGCCTTCAAAGGGAAGGGATCGGTTCATGGGATGTAATGAGACTATTCACACAAGGGTGGATGGGCTGCAGAGCATCGGGAATTAGCAAGAGCTAGAAGCCGAGAAGCCATTAGCACCCTAGCGGCAGGAGGAGAAAGTGTTGGCTGAGCCTGGAGGAATCTGGAGCGCCAGAAGGGGGCGCCCTAGAGGAGCAGGAGCTGCAGATGTATCCCAGGAGGGAGCAGGTGAAGAAAAACCCAAACCTTCTCTCTTCCAGTGCTCCCATCTTCTGCCGGTGCCTCTCACTGCGGAACCAGAAGTCACCGGGGCCTGGCAGGGGTGTGCTGGGGCCAGCTCCTACCCGCTGGTGAGAGCCAATCGTTCAATCTTCAGTTTTGTGAGCCAGTTGTTAAGCACAGCCATTGTTAAAAATAAAATTCTGGGGCGCCTGGGTGGCCCAGTCGGCTGAGCGCCGGACTCTAGATCTCAGCTCAGGCCATGATCCGAGCAGTTCATGAGTTCAAGCCCCGCATGGGGCTGTGCACTGATGGTGTGGAGCCTGCTTAGGATTCAGTCTCTCCTTCTCTCCGACCTCCCTCCACTTGTTTTCTCTGTCAATAAACAAATAAACAAACTTTAAAAAGGAAAAAATAAAATTCTAGTGCCCCGAGCGCCTTCTAGGAGAGCGGGAATTTTCCCAGGCTCCCGATAGGGGGCGCTGCGTGAGGATGGAGAACCTAGAAAGGGGCTCCAGGGACCCTTCAGGCAAAGGTCCCCGCCTCCGGTCTACGTGAGAGTGCTGTGGAGCGGAAGCAGAGCGCAAGTTTCATGGAGAGCCCTAGAAACAGGGGTGCTTGCCTAGGGCTTGGGGAGTGGGAGTAGCAGGTCTTTCTTCTACCTGGAGGACCGGAAACAGCACACCCCTGGGCCCCTGGGCCTCCCAAGGTGGTGGGGCAATTGGGGGGCGGAGATCAATGGACTTCCCTCAAACGGTTCATCCCACCCCCACCCCATGGCTTGAGCGCAGGCAGAAAGCCAAACAGAAATATTGTCCTGCCAAGTTTCTTTGTTAAGACTGTTTTTTAAAGCTTTTTAAAAAGGTTTATTTATTTTGAGAGAGAGAGAGTGACCTTGCAAGGGTGGGGGGGGGCAGAGAGAGAGACGGAGAGAGAGAACCCCAAGCAGGCTCTGCCCTGGCAGGGCTCGAACCCATGAATGTGAGATCACAGCTGAGCTGAAATCAAGGGGGGGAGGGAGGCCTTAACCAACTAAGCCACCGAGATGCCCTTTCCTGGCGAGTTTTAAAGGTTTGGGGAGGGGGCGCCTGGGTGGCTTAGTCGATTAAGCGTCCGACTTTCATTTAGGTCATGATCTCGCGGTTCGTGGGTTCGAGCCCCGCGTCAGGCTCTGTGCTGACTGCCAGCTCAGAGCCTGGAGCCTATTTCAGTCTGTGACTCCCTCTCTCTCTGACCCTCCCCTGCTCACGCTGTCTCTCTCTCTCTCTCTCTCAGAAATAAATAAAACATTTAAAATTAAAAAAAAAAAAGAAAAAGGTAGATGAGGGGCACGTGGGTGGCTCAGTCGATTAAGCATCTGACTTGAGCTCAGGTCATGATCTCATGGTTCATGAGTTTGAGCCCCTTGTTGGGCTCTGTGCTGACAGGTCAGATCCGGATCCTGCTTCGGATTCTAGGTCTCCCTCTCTCTCTGTCCCCCCACTGCTCATGCTCTGTCTCCCGCTGTCTCTGAACAACGAATAAATGTTTTAAAATATTTTAATAGAAAAGAAAAAGGTAGATGAAAAAGCCAGAGGTACATGGCCTGGCCAGTGAGTAGTTCCTTGGTGCAGAGAAAAAGGTATCTCTTTCTCAAGGTGGAGGTCGTCCTGCACCTCCACCCACAGCCCAGCAAGCACAGCACTGGCTGGATTTCAGTTCTGCGTATCCCATCATCCAGGCATGTTTATGCAGTAGACAACCCACTCAACTGTCCATGGTGGCCCACTGTCCCAGCCTCTGCCTATGTGGATGAAGACCAAGAGCTCCATGGGGTGGAGTGGAAAGCTGGTGGATGCCAGCACAGACAGGCCCCACCCTTGCTGCCTTGGCATTGTATTAAGTCCTCAACAATTCTAACGTAGCCCTAAGGAGGGATAGAACCTTGAACTGATAGAGATTGAGTTTTCATCACCCTGATGGAAATTGGGGCCCAAAATAGAAATCACATTGTGATCTTTAAAAAAAAAAAAAAAAAAAGTGAATCTGTTGTTATTTCCTACACACCCAAGTCTGGTCTGGGAGGTGCCCCCATGCAGGTTTGGCTGGTAGCAGGTGAACCACATGGGACAAAGGGAATGCAGTGGGTCTGAGCTGGGCACAGTGGTGTAAACTAGACAGAGCTGCTTCACGTGCTGGCCCTTACTACCAGCATAACCTTGGGCACAACCCCTTCTCTGAGCCCATGTCCTTATCTATGTAATAATGCAGACAAAATAACACACAGAGGGCCTCTGGGTTGGACAAGCACGGCCCTTAGCATATGCCAGGCATGGTTCTGAGGGCTTGACGTGGATTAACTCATGTCATCAGCACAGCAACCTATGAAGTAGGTACTAGAACTCTGTTCTAGTGATAAAGACACTGAGCCGCAGAGCATTCAACTTCCCCGAAGCCACGCAAGCAGAAAGTAACAGGATTAGAGCCCCCCCTTCTCCTACTCAACCCACTAGACTGCCTCTTATACTGTGTAAAGCTTGTCGCACGTCGCCTGGTGCCCAGCACCCAGAAAATAGTAATCATCCTCGTGGGTGAAGTCCTGAAGCCCAGGAATCACACAGAGGTTTCCGTCTCAGGAAGTCCAAGGAGAGATGCCCAGGACCCAGAGGGTCAATGCAGATGATAGACAGCTCAGTGGAATCCACAGCTGAATGGGACAAGGGGACAGATGGGCAGGCACGGGCTAGTCCTTGAACCTTCCAGACCCCATCTCCTCATTTGGAAAGGGAGGATAGCTCCTCTCTCACACGACTGCTACAAGGACTAAACAAGAGAACATAAAGGCATTCAGGACACAGCGTCTCTCTGCCCTGCTTCACTTAACAAACGATTTGAATCCAGCCGCTCTTCTTGGAGCCCACAGTGTTCCCCACTCTGTCACAGCTCTCCCCACTCTGTCACAGCTCTCTGGCTATTTCAAGACGGCTGATCATTTGTTTCTCACTGTTTCATAGGAGCACAGCAGGTGTTTCTTGGGTATAGGCTGCCTTTTTAAAAGATGCAAAAATAGCATTTGTCATATGAAAAAAATGTGCAGTAACTTAACCTGCATAACCTCCCTCTCTTAATTTGGAAAGTCGTGTCATTTACACTACAAATGAGCTTGGGAAGGGCCCCACATGGCAGAGAGACCTCCCATGGTTAATCTTCCCAAGAGAAGCAAGACTCACATTTCGTCCTAAGGACTAAAAAAAGAAGAATCTCCCATCAAAGAGGAACAGCACGTTTGCTATTGCTGCCTTTTTAAAAACACATTTTGGGGCGCCTGGCTGGCTCCGTCAGTTAAGCGTCCGACTTCAGCTCAAGTCATGATCTCACAGTTTGTGGGTTCGAGCCCCGCATCGGGTTCTGTGCTGGCAGCTCAGAGCCTGGAGCCTGTTTCAGATTCTGTGTCTCCCTCTCTCTCTGCCCCTCCCCTGCTCATGCGCTGTCTCTCTCTGTCTCAAAAGTAAATAAACTATAAAAAAAACAACAACACATTTTCCACAGAGTTCATTAGTGGTGGCCATGATCAGATTGTTCAGAAGCTAGTAATGGAGTCCCTTTTCTGGGTCGTGGAGGCTGGGCTGCACCCTGGGGACACATTGCAGAGGGGGATGCAGCCCCTTTCCTCGTGGACTCAGGGTCCACTGGAGAGTGCAGAGACTGCTGCTGTCTTTCCTCAGTGCCCCTGTATGTGCCTCCTGTCCTTGCTGGCAACCACCAGTCACTCAGCAAGACTTCTCTTTGTCTCCAATCCAGTCTTGTGGCTTTAAATACCAACAACATGTCAATGACCCTCAAATATATGACTCCATCCCAGATTGCCCTTCTGAGCTTGTTGTATCTTGGTTCAGGGCTCTGTTGATGACGTGACCACCATATACCCCTACTCTAACAGGAGAGCCATGAGGGTGCTTTGGGTCCCTGAATATCAATGGTAATCTAGAGCTGGGTACTCAACCACTTTGGAAAGAAGTGGTGTTCCCCGTTCTCCAGTGTGAATGGCTGCCATCCGTTGGGGGAAAACCCAAGGGAACACAACTGTATTTGGTTGCCATGGAGTTTGCTAGGTCCATTCTTCACTGGATGGGTTCTGGGTCTGAGAACTGAC